AAGGGGGGTGGACCTAAAGGATGGTCTGATCACCTTTCTTAGAGCCGGGGGGTGTACCCCATGAACCCATGTATCACAAAAGAAACACTTCAACTTCCTGTCACTCCCCCTTACCTCAGGGGGTGTGGTTTTCTTGAAAATACTAAAACATGAATAACTTTTAATTGGGTCAAGATTTTTGAAGTCTGTTTTCGCCGTATGGTGCACTAAATTAACTCCGAGGGAACAGCCACACCCACTCGTACCTAGGGGGTGTGGTCCGGGGCAAAATGAGATTGTTACCGAAACTTAATCTTTAGATGAAATACAGCAAGATTAGGTTTTCCCGCGATGTCATGGGCGTGTTGGGGGAGAAGTGAGACAGCTTTTTCGGTGTGTGCGTTTGCCCTGGTTAACGTTATTGATAATATTTAGAAACCACCATGCAGGTAAGTTACGTTCAAATGCTCTAATCTTCCTGTTGTTGCGTTCACGAGATTCTTTCCTATCTTTTCTTCGACAATGTCCTTGTGACAAGCATTACACCCCTGGCGGCCAGTATCCTACATAAAATTATTTGACCGTACTAACCACCCTCCCTGATCTCAGGGGGTAAGAATAAGTATATCATGCAATCACGGAGTTTTACTACTACTTCTTCAACTCCTCCATCAAACAGTTTTTCTCCATAAAGAAATTTGCTTCGCGTAAGCGTAAACAACGTAAAATTATGCGATGAAATTCAAAATTTAAGGATCCCGTGATCTTAAAATTACTTATTGTTTATTTTGATCGCAATGGCCAGTTTGAATTTCAAGTTAATCACACAATTTTACGTTGTTTACGTTTAGACGAGTACCCCTATTGAAATCCGGTTGCGGGAGGAGGTAATGAGGCTTAATAAAATCGCTGTCTTTCCGTTCATCCGTCTGTTGGTCCAAAATCTCGTTAACGCAACAACATTAGAGCCTTTGAACGTAACTTACCTGCATGGTGGTTTCTAAATATTATCAATAACGTTAACCAGGGCAAACGCACACACCGAAAAAGCTGTCTCACTTCTCCCCAAACACGCCCATGACATCGCCGGAAAACCTAATCTTGCTGTATTTCATCTGAAGATTAAGTTTCGGTAACAATCTCATTTTGCCCCGGACCACACCCCGTAGGTACGAGTGGGTGTGGCTGTTCCCTCGGAGTTAATTTAGTGCACCATACGGCGAAAACAGACTTCAAAAATCTTGACCCAAGGTCTCTATACTTTTTAGTTTCTATTTCTCCTTGGTTTCCGTCTCTCTGAATCTCCATACAGGTTATCCAGGTTTATTCCCGATTTTTAAAAAATGTCAAAAATTTAGAGTTGGAGAAATGCAGGCAAAATATGTTTGGGCTGCGTTGTCAAGCACAAAAAATGAGAGTGAATTTGAGTTGATGCTCTGCTCTATTTCTACTCGATTCGGATTTTTGACCACAGTTATCATTCGTGGCGTAATCTAAAAGCGGTGCATCTTACAATATTATCATAAAATGAAGGACATTTTGGTTATAATTTATGTTTTTACTTGACACAATATCAGCAACTGTTATGCAACAGTAGAGCAACTATAAAATTTATATATTTAATATTTATATATCTAATAATACCTTAAAAAACCTTGAGAATTCAATAATAATTCTTCTTCACTATCGTCCACCAAATCACGCATATCTTGCTCGCACATAGCAGAAATCTCATCAATTTCAAGATCCAGCGAAGCTTCTTCCTCGTCCTCCATTTGTTCATCAACAATAGCTAGAAACTGCCGAACTTTCCTTTTTCTTTGCATAATTTCAATTTTTTTATTAATTGTTTTAACCCGAAATCTTGTTACAAGTTTTAAGTAATACAGTATTGCTTTTTCAGGGACGCTTGGGTAAATATTCTTCAAGTGGTGTTATGATTTTTCCGTCCCGATTAACGTCCCAACCATATTGGTGGAACTTGATAAAAATGTCAATAATTACCTTGAAGTAAAATGCTAACGAGTAAAATTTCAAGAAAAAGTATAATACACTTAAAATAACATTAACGCCACGAATGATAAAATGGTCAAAAATCAAAAATCCGAATGGTCAAAAATCAAAAGTGGTTAAAAAGTGGTCAACAATCCGAATCGAGTAGAAATAGAGCAGAGCATCAACTCAAATTCATTCTCATTTTTTGTGCTTGACAACGCAGCCCAAACATATTTTGCCTGCATTTCTCCAACTCTAAATTTTTAACATTTTTTAAAAATCGGGAATAAACCTGGATAACCTGTATGGAGATTCAGAGAGACGGAAACCAAGGAGAAATAGAAACTAAAAAGTATAGAGACCTTGATCTTGACCCATTTAAAAGTTATTCATGTTTTAGTATTTTCAAGAAAACCACACCCCCTGAGGTTAGGGGGAGTGACAGGAAGTTGAAATGTTTCTTTTGTGATACATGGGATCATGGGGTACAGTTCGTGTAAAAAATTTTTGAAATATATAAAAAAATATGTTTGACCACAGCCCTTGAGGGTGTGGTCAGCTACTTTATACACTAGTAACCCTTAATTTTGATTTTAAATGTTACTAAATATTCGCAGCAAGTTAAGCCTTGGGATATGGGAGACTAAACTCGGTTCAACGTTAATAAGCATGGGCGGGATTTAGTCTTCCATATCTCCGGGCTCAACTTGCTGCGAATATAGAGTATGCATTATTTTTAACGACTTTAACCAATTAATTAAATTCAAAAATTGCAAAATTTCAATTTCGATATTTCGATATTGAAATATCGAAAACGAGATCGAGATTACATGCCCTACGTCATACTAAGGAGTATACTGGAATTAAGTATATTGTTTCTTGATCGAATTGTATAAAAAAATTCTTGACTACTGGGCATTAATACATTAAATGATATGAAAAATCTATTGTAATCGTATTGTAATCGTCCACAATAATTTTTTCCGTACAATATAATGTCAATTTCTGCATTTACATAAACCAGTTTGTTACGACAAGTTCATAAATAGTATTTATGTAGGTTGCGTAAAATGTAAGAAATCATTTTTTTTTAAAACAATTTCTTTACAAATTAAAAAAATAATTACAAATTGCCGCCCCTAAAATAAGGGATTTTGCTACAGCTTGTTCAGAAAGTAAACATTTTTTCCCATGCCAGATAAGAACTCTGGAGAGATAAAAACACAGTTTGAGCAAAACATAATTACGCAGCTTATCTACACCTTTTGACCATAGATTGAAACAAACTTGCATTTACACTGTTCAATAAATTACGTCACAATTCATAAGCCTTGGTTATAAAATAATCTAGTTTATCAAACAATTTGCAGGGGGTAGGTCGTGATATAACAATAAACACTCCGTTATCAAATGTGTTTCAAAGAATTATTCTTGATCTTGAATCCGTAAAAAATCCGAATGTCGGCTAAAACGATAAGTAATATGTATATGATTCGCTAAATATTTAGGAAAACATGTTGTGATGCGGACCAATTAAAAAGCTAGTGTAGCAGGAAATACTGCGACACAATGAACAGCCAGATTTTGAGAATTAGCTAGGGATGACCCTTGAAATTCAAAATTGTTAAAAAAATGTCGTATAAAAACAATAGAAATTTTATTACCTCAATCGTACCAATAGTTGAACAGGTTCTGGAATTTAATTGAATTAGAAATATATTGCGGGTATGCACTCAGAATTTCATGCAATGCATTGTATTGAAAATTTAATGACGAGATCATATTTATGAGTTATAAAATGGTAGGAATCAACATTCCATTCTATTCTACACCATTCCAACAAATTAACTGGTGGCGAAGCGGGTGAGTTTTCCTAGCTTATTTATTTATCTAATGTTGCAAATGATTTGATTTGATTTATTAGTTAATTTTTCCTGATATTTATTTTTTATTCAGATTTTATTTAGTTGTAGTATAGAATTTTGTTCGCAGAGATATTGTAAAATTAAATAATTATTGAAAAAATGTAAACGACCAGCGCCGTAAAAAAACGTCCCTAGCTGATGTTTTCCGGGTTCGCGGTAAAACGGCAACCCGGCAAATGCCGTTCCGTAAACTGCCGTTTTGCCGAGCAAAAAAAATCATGCCGTTTTGCTCAATTGGGGTTATTTGAGAAATTGAGTAATGTGTCACGTTCCAGAATCTTGAAGAGATTTATTTTCTGGGAAAATTTACATGTTTGCAAAAGAAGGCAAATTGAGAGAAAGTATGAGATTTACAAATATATGCCAATATAGAAATGAGAATACTTATGTGTCTATGTATCATAAAAATGTGTGTTTTAAGATGACTAACCTTGTAATCTATGTAAAAATAACCATCACCTTTTATGGTGATGGAATGGTTGAGCTTTCTATAGATTTTGAGATATTTTAGTTGTTTAGGTAACTGTAATAAAATCGGATGTAAATGTGTAAGAAAGAAAAATATTATTTTTGGAGAGAGAGAACGACGAGAGGGAGAGAGAAGAGAGAGCGTCTTGTTTGGAGAGAGGAATTTTGTGTTACCGATCGCTTTAAATGTGAAATAAATAAATTTGGCAAACATTTCTTAAAATTCTTATTTTTTCTTCCATCACGATAATTTTGAATTAATTTATCCGTGATAAATGTAATCATGCAAGTATGTAATTATTTAGCATTAATATTACCAGGTAATTATTTTAACTAAAGCATGAGTAATAATGAACCGGACAAACCTGTCTCTTTATCTCTTAATCGTATTCATTACAACGAGATATATCATAAATAATTACTAGATCAGGATTTAAGGTGGAAATATTGCATGTCCAATATGAAACTTATGCTAAGGAATTGCCTAATGATCATTAAATATGAAGTCGAAACGTATGAATGAATTAATTAGTTCGGAATTAAAACTAACAATCTTCAATTTTACATTCAAAATCCCAATTTGGCATGCAAGCCGGCAATTCGGCATAATTTTCAGAGCAAAAAGGCACTGGATATCTGGATATTTTACTGCTTCAGTAAGTATTTATTTATTTATTCTAAGCCGACCAAGAATTACCAATAATTCCCAATTTCTCCGCATCTTCTTGTCGGCATTGTCGCCCCATAAGTCCAATAGCCATTTCATTCTCTTCGTCAAGGCTCCCCGCAAAAATAATGGTGCAAATTTCTCTGCCAAAAATATAATAAGCCAACCAAACGACCTGATCATGAAATGTTTTAGGAAGTCGGATGACTCCATAGTCTGCTGAAGGCGTAGCTATGAACACTGGTCCATGCTTTTGCATCACATTTCTCGCTCTGCCCATAATCTCATCTTCTGTACAGCCCTCCACATCTGTCTTATCTAAAGTTATGAAGGTCCCATAAGAGAAGAGAACCCATACTCTGTCTTTGAAACAGTCCGCCTCCATTATAATACCAAGCGCTTTCAACAACTTTTGGGGGTTCGGTTCCTTCAATCCTGGAAAAATTCTAGACTCCATCTTTTGAAACACGGATTTCTGATTCGTTGTAGTCGACATGTGTAAGTTGGCCGAAGTTAATACGATTTCTACATGCAAACAAAACAAACAAACTTATTGTCAAGTTAGAAAAAATTTGATATATTATATTTACTTGTTACATCATTCCTCCTTTCTCCATTTTCTTTAATCAGCTCATTTGTAATAGCCTTTGTATTTATTGTATCTCCTTGCTCTAAAATATCTCCCAAATTTAACAACTCTTCCTCATTACTTGCAACCATTGTTAACCGAGATGGCACGTCCTTCTCAATCTCAACTAAATCGACTAATTCAGGTCTCTCCAACAAGGAAATAATAGTTTGCTTCATATTTGGGAGCCATACATGTTCTCGCACCAAGTCGTGGTCCCCATCTATTGCCACTCGCCCGTACAGCTCCTCATTGAAGGTAATTAGCCCGGTAACTTCCCATAAAAGGTATCCCAACATTGTCTTATCGATCTTCATGCCATCTACGGGATTATTCTTGTCTCTAAATTCGTAGCTCCCAAGCTTCACCGGTGGCCTGTATTCGTATCGAGAAAATATAACGTTTTCTGGGCGAAGTGAGCCATGGACAATTCCATTATTGTGGAGAAAGATTAATCCGACGATAACTCCTTTCACAATTTTCACTTGCAAGGCCTTAGTTACTTCATCGTCCAAATTATGCTCCTCCTCGCGACGTTTTTCTTGAAGCCAACATTGCACGCTAGATCCATACAGAGGAATTTGTATGGAGAGTACATGCTTTAAGTTCCAGCCTAATATGGCATTACGCATTCCCTGCAGAGCAGGATCAAGGGCAATCAGAGCCTCGAGCTTGTCCAATTCCAATTTTTTCTCGCAAATTTTTATCGTTGGGACCAAATATGGATGTGGATTCTTCTTCGCAAATTTCCATGCTGCAAAGTAGCAGTTTTTATTGTTTAAAGTTGGTGAATCTCGAAAGTAGAAATTTACTTCGTAATGTTCTTCCTCCTCTTCTACAAGGGCACGGAAGGTGAGTCGATTATCACTATACCCTAAACAGCCGTCAAGTTTTAATACTCGGTTACCTCTGTTAAGCGAGACCATGATTGTAATTGGTGACCAACAACTCCATTCGCACAAATTTATGGAGATTTTTGCTGTGCGTCACATCCACGGATATGACGCACAACTGATATCAACGGAATGTTAATCACAGCTGACATTACGTAGCGATGATTTATGAAGGAGGCATACATTATCAATGATAAGGCATTATCATGGATAAATCATTACCTTATAAGGTAATGAATGATTAACCTGCTACCATAACCGTAGACAAACAACAGTATAAACTACTTGCCGAAAAAGTGGTGCCCATAGCACCAGGTTAGCTCATGACATATAACATACCCAATGTACCATACATTCCACTCTACATTATAATCGGCTACTCTACTACTTACTACTATTTACTCTACCACCCCTGAAGTGTTAAACATTGAATTACGTCAGACAGACAAAGATTTGAAAAATATTATTATGGGCTGCCCGTTAAGCATGGACATCGTGCTAAAATATCTGTAAAATAATAATGTCTAAATTAAATGTTGTGAAACTTTTGGGGAACATTAATTATACACTTACCTAACTGGTTTTTCCATTTAGTGGGCTGTACACCCCTTCCCTTCCGATTTGTCGAAGCTTTTGTCGCACACTCGCCATGAGAGCTTTGCCACTCGTTTCCGCTACTTCCTTACTTCTTTTCTATAAGACCCTTTATAATTTTCAAATGTTTTATGGTGGATTCTATAGGAGCTTTGTCTCTTGATTGATGACCAACAAGGTTAATTTGGATAAGTTTCTGGAGTTTTAATTTGGATAGAATATTCGAAATATCCACTTGAATTATACCGAAATAACATATTTTGAAATTTATTCCGATCTCAAATTTCCTGTAGTTTACCTTTTTTCTCGACCGGTTCATCGTCTCATTTTGCTGATCTCATATCATAGCAGGTACAAAAGAGGTACCCTTTCTGTAAATTTTATTAATTTAAGAAAAATCTACAGTGGCGCACTATCTTAAAATTTGCCTTCAAATTGTTGCCTTGGTTAGGGGACGTTCGTAAACTTCATAACGCGAACTTAGCCTCCCCTCACATGTTAATAGTTCTGACGGGTGGGCCAAGTTCGCGTTATGAAGTTTACGAACGTCCCCTTACTAGGTTCACAAAAGTTTAGAAATTTTCTAAGATAGACAATTCTTGAGGCGGGCAGAAGTTGAGTACCATTTTGTGTTGATAGGCATCCAATTAGTCTTCAGAATTAATTTAAAGAAAATCGTAATTTAATTTTATGCAATAATGTGTACATGTTTGAAATCCAGTAATAACAAGTTGAAACAATCACGGCTTGGCATGTTCGCATCGCAACTTGTTTTTGAAAAATATGTCGTTGGGGTGGGTATTGCTCCGTAAGCAGTCTGCAGGACGGAGTAGGCTGGAATCTTTTATAGATTCCATCCTACTCTAGGGAAAACTCGGCAAGGCTGTAAGCTGAGCAGTAGTAGTTTAGCGGCGACATAAATCTGTACGGTACATGTATCAAGAGTGAATAAAGGTCTCAGCTTGAGAGACATTGAACGGTAACCATTTTGCCAACTAAATACTACCCGAGGATATGAGCAACTTCGCAAAATTTCATTTTTCAAGCCAGTTTTCGGGAAAAGTTTTTGCTAACTTGCGAATATTTATTGTTTGCTAAACTTGCTAACGACACAGACTCATGATGAATCAATAAGAAATGAATAAGATTTGTTAGAGTTTAAATCACGCAAATCTTATTTCATACGTTTTAAACAATTTGCTTAACCTACAATTGATCATTTTTAGCGGATTTTTTTAACTATCAAAATTCGACAGATTCACCAAAGAGCTTTATTTTCCAAAAATTCAGTAATTTCTAAATTCGATTGTACACATTCACTCGCCCATGTCAATAAATACTGCATATCAACATACATGTGCAAAACGGACGTGGAAAATGAGCCTATGGAAATATCCATGTCTCCATTCAGCAAATGTATGTATAAACCTTGCTGGTTTTGAGTGGACTCTGCAGTAATGCAAGTAATGATATACGAAATAAACATCATCATCTTCTCGTCAGGCATTACTACATAAATAGCATGGACTTTACTATTGTAAAAATGACGCAAGATTTTATTACACGACCTGTTATCTGCATATGTAAATTGTTTTACATGGCTCCGTTCGTCTCCCATCCCCGCAGTGCTGCAAATACTGCACTCTCCACACATTTACCAATCCTGCATTACTTTAGACAGACTTTGTGCCTCAGCCAGCTGAAAATCTTTTTGTTTTTCCAGCAATACTTTCATTTCTTCAAAGTTTAAATCGAAACTGCATAAGCTAGGTGACCCTATTTCCATCCCAATATTGAGTTGGGGAGCCATTTTGTTCCTTAGATACAAGATATGCCGTATTTTAAATCAAGTCCCCTATAGACAAAATACGTCATGTGATGTACTTGAAGCTTTCCATTGACAATCGAAGTTAAAAATTGGTAAACAATTTAAAACTCTATTATGAAAAGTGGAAAATACCATAGTGAAATTTTGATTTTTTTTAGCACAATTTTTGAAAATTTTCAACTCCAATTATTGAAATGTTTAGTAAAAAACGTAAACCCAAGTTGGACAAGGATCTATCCGCAATGGAGTTAGCGATGACGAATATACTCGTAAGAGAAAGCCGTTTTACGCTTAAAAAGGTGGAAATTTTAATCCTAATTATTTTACAGATTCTGAAAGCTATTTTTGCACAATTGCCGATACAAGAGTTAAAAATTAGTCGAGCAGTGTGCCGACTTTGGAATGAGGTTGGTTTCAAAGAATTGAAGGATAGGGTGATCCTATCAATCGGGAAAATTTGCACTTTCACCGACCCACTTTTAATTAATGCCAAACTGACGAAATATATTGGAATAAGGATGGAATCGAATCGATCCTGTCATGAAGAGTGTTCCACGGGAATGAATTTAATTCAACTTCCGCCCAACGTGCAACAAGTAGTGGAAGAAGTTAGGATTCAAACGAGTGCAGAATACCTTGCCGCTATTATAGAATACATCAACAATTGCGCGTTTCCAATTCTAGACTACATTTCACTTAAGATTTCAGGATGTAACGCATATCGTTTAGATTTGACCAGCCACCAAAATCGACGGACCGCACTCTTAATTAAATCCATTATCACGCAATATCCTTCCACACTCCTACCAACTTTTTTGGAAAATTGTACTAATTTAGAAGTGCTTCAATTCGAGAAAAACACTCCCCCAAGCTTGGTAAAGTGCTCGAATCTAAAATTTCTCAGTTATTCCGGTGTCCCAGTCGACATGTCGGTAATAAATAGAATGCTGGAACAAGTTGGAGGCTCTTTAGTAGAGTTGGAACTACGGAATAAACTTTTCTCCATGAATCAGAGATTAACCAGGACTCAGGTAAGGTTCGAATTGCTGTAATTTTTTAACAAACCAATCCAACCTAATTTTAATTAACAGTTTAACCCACCAAGGATGCCAAACCTAACAACCTTAACCGTTTTTGCGGCGGAACTCTATCAACTGGAGAACGTCTTGAGCACCAAGTTGCTACCAAGACTGAAACACCTTTCACTAAAACCGTCCACGGGAAGTACCTTTGCTGTCGACAATTTCTTGCAAAATCTTTACGAATTTCATAACGGAATCGAGTCCCTCAGTTACGAAGCAAGTACTCAAGCTGACGTACGACAAGCGGTGATCCTCTTTCCGAACGTCAAGAATATTGAGGTACGATTCAGCTCGGGTGCGGCAACTAATAGAGAGATGCTCGAACAATATCGTAATTGGGATATTCAGCGGGCTAAAGTCACTTTTATCACGATGATCTCCTCAATTCAGGAAATGGTGGTCTTCTTGGAAGCCATGTCCACGTGGAGAGGTTGTATTCTTATATCCTGTACTTTATATAAGATGACATACTTATACGACAATATTTTTAGGAAGGAAAACCCTGTCCTTGTTTTCCGCTCCGGTAGTCACATTTGAAAAGAGCGGCATAGATTCGTCCCGAACTGCGCGTCGAAGTTTCGCCGGCACTTTTTTGTTTACCGAATTCGGAGAAATGGCAAAGTCAGCGTTTCTTTTTTGCAAATCATTCCAAGCTGTAGAACTGTTTGATTTCGGGGTAAGTATTTAATTCTAAAAATACTTTTGTTCAATGTTAAAACTATTTTTAATTTAGACGTCAGACGTTGTGAGGAGAGAAATGGAAGAATTCATAGCTATCGAAAAACTCCCTATTAAGTTTAAGAGTACTTCATAAATACTCTACCATATAGAAGCTGCGAGGGACAAGTATTTAGAAAGTAATAATTACATTAATAAAATTTAATACTACATGTTTATTTTGATCCTATTTATGTCCCATGGGAATTTAGGATTGCTCATCAATTTTATTCGAAATAAATAAGTTAACAAATCTTGCCTACCGCAACTACTTAATCAGAGTAATTTTATTTTCACAAGTTGAAATCAGGGTTACGTTCTTCGGGTATTTATGCCGGGCACCGGCATAAATTGGCATAAAGTCCAAAAGTGGTATAAAGTGGCACAAAGTCGGGCAGAGTGATTTGAGACATTATGTATGGATTTCCTTGACTGAGGATTGCGAGCGGAGATATCATTATCAATTATTTGTTTCAATTCGCCACCCAACAACTCGTTGATCTTAACATCCAGCTCTGGACTGTAAAGTAGGTACCATTCTCCTGGTAGCAAAGGTAGGTCGGGACGCGGATGAAGTCCTAAAGATAGGGTCAGAAGTCAAGGTGGGCAAGGCGTCCTCGCAATCTTTCGTCGTAAATTTCATGCCGAACTTCATCAACGAGTGACGAAGCCTGCTGCAGTTAGAAACAGGGTTTCTTTTTGGACAGCAGTAACGGTTTTGGGGGTAAACCACTTTTGTCCGCGTGGAAAAAAAACATTTTAACCAGTCTGGTCCCGGCAAGAGTGGTTAAAATCAGTGATTTAGTGGTCAAAAGCGCCATTTTGACCGTTTTTGTCCGCCGGACAGTACAGTTTTTTCCACTCGAAACACTGTGAGTGACCTACCTGATGTATATGATCTCTTGGAATGTAATTATAACTACTTCATAATGTCCTACGCAGTCAGACAATGATTGATGGTTCACGTCACGGGATGTACACAATGTTCAAAAGAATTGAACCTTTAATTAAACTGAATACCAATGACGATTATCCCGTCAATCGTTACAACCGCATATCGACAATTAACATACATTGAATATGTAAACAGAAATTAACCCTTGAAACTGACTTGGGGTTATATGTACATACTAGAATATGTCTTGCGACATGAAGACGTACAAAATTTATTATGTTCAATTCAACTTTAATAAGACAATTACCCATGTTAACTTTATTGGAATTTTGACACTACTTATTGTTCTGATTTAGATTTAACCCTTAAGAATTAAAATATCTCCCATGTCGTTTACGTCAATGCTGTCCAGTTGGAATTTCATTTCCACGTATCTCCCATATTCGTTGCACCGGAAATAATTCGGGTCAAAAGTCCTCCCGTACAATGCAGCAACAAAGAACTCTTTTCACCAAGAATAACCCTTGCCCCGTACCTAGCCCCACCGATCGTGCCGACAAGTACGGGACAAAAATTTCCACAGCCGGCAAATGCAATCGAAGCGTTCAACGCGTCATCGAAGGAGTTGGACTGGTGCAGGAAATGTAGAGCCGCTTGAAGAACTGCAGGCGCGTAACCGTCCTTACTCAGACGACTTTTCATACAAGTTGCGGCAGAGATGATGGCATCAGTTACTTCGCATTGGTGCAAACCATTCATTGCTATCTTGATAGAATCCTCCCATCCAGTTCCGGTAATTAGCTGTCGACAAAGCCAAGTAACAAAGAGGCTGACTTCATACGAGATTTGGTTCGCGTGAGTTATATACGTTTCCGACAACACGGCAGAGTCTAATTGTCTGAAAAAATACAAAAGTGTTTAAAAAAAGCATCAAATTCAATACAGCAAAGTAGCACATGTAACGCCAGTTAAAAGCAAATCAAGCAAAAATCCATATTGTTTGGATAGCCCTGCTAAAAAATGTCTCACTACGGTCACAAGTTCCTTACTTATCATCTATGACAGATGCCATCGAAATAACGGCATTCCTGTGAGCTGCCCCGACGCCGATGCTTCCGTACTTGCCTTGAACCGTGGTTGACGCTTCTTCTGAGGTTCTTCCTTCCGAAATCAATTTAAACACGGAGAAGAATGTATGACCAGTATCGAACGCTTTCTCAGAATCGTGTGGTGGTCCTGAGGGAAACAAATCCAGTTACAAACTTAATTGAAACTTTCAGTAATTGAACTAAAATTTCAATTTTAAAGTTGACCTCGAAAGTAGCTAAGGTACTTCTCAACAACGTCGCTTTTATCGAAACCTTTCTTCTCCAATAAGCTTTCAAGCAGCCGGATCGCCAATCGAACTGGTCCTCCATTTCTGTCTCCTGCAGCTAACCCAACCAACACCCCGGCACAACGGTCACGTTTCCCGTCAACAGCCGTGTCATCAGTCTGCATATTTCGGTTTCAAATAGAAATTCAACATCTATCTAGATGTCGTTAAGTTGAAAAGTGTTATATATCTGTACAATAAATAAAAATAAATAAAATTAAAACTAAAATAAGTTCTTTGTATTTCCTTACGGAATACCAAAAGTAATTGGCTCGTACCCTTCTGGTTGGATTTTGACGGAGAAACTTTTTAGCCACGCTGTTTTTTGTGGTATCACTAAAATTTACACTATTCTTAATTAAGCATAAAAATCACCTTTCCACTCCGAGTTACTGTAGGAATTATTCCCTATACTACCCATACACCGACAAAAATATTATTATCATCAGGTAACCATATATGACTACCGGGATGTTAATCAAATGCAATATTACTTAATTTGCTACCAGCTAACAATATTTTATTGCCAAAGCGGGAATAATTTATTACCAAATGGTGACAAAGTACTTCGCGGTAATAACACTTATTACAATTCCAGCAGAGTTATATATGATTACCGGTTTTTTTTTCTTGTAAAAATCGGAATTCTATTTATTTGTTACCACCAACTCACACACTTTGTACTGTTCAACTAATACAACTAATTTTGTCCTGGTCTTGTTGCACATGCATTAATTTTTTTATTAAGTCTATTTATTTTCTAGTATAAAATCTTTGTAATGGTAATGGCAAAAAGAGTAAGTTATGCCCAACAGCTGATGGTGATGAAGGAGAAAGGAGTTTAGTTACAAGTGAGCCATTCTGTGCATCATTCTCATAGCAAGGTAGAGAGAGTGGTTTAATTCTAATACAAATACCCTCATTGTAACCTACCGCACTGTATATCTCACACATAGCTAGAAATCAGTGTTTGCCACCCCGGGTTTTTGCTTGGGTTGGGTTTTTGGGTTTTTGTGGGTTTTTGGGTCGCAAAAAAAGGAAAAACCTACTTGGGTTTTTCCAATGATATTTGGGTTTTTGCTTGGGTTTTTGGGTTTTTGCTTGGGTTTTTGCTAAAAATTTGTACTTTTTAAAGGATTTTGATATTTGAAATGAAGAATTTCCGTTTACCTAAGTTATTAAATAAATATAAGCACAAGAAAATGCAGAGAAATGTAAATGTACTCACGTTATGGGATGTTATATTTTACCATGCATTCCTTATGGATGACTGGGGCTCTTACAAAAATTGATATTTTTACAAGTATCTGGTAGTTTAAAATAACAGATTTTACTATCATAAAGTTTTTAGACTAATATAAGCAAAATAATTGGCTCACAAACTTAAATACAAGCATGTTGAAGAAAGTTATACTTACACCGTGTATTTCTTATGGATGACTTCGAAATTTTACTTATTTTGGAGTAACTTCGGTAATTCTTATCGGATCGCGATAATTAAATCACCGTTGTTTCTAATTTTTCCAGATGTATTGATCAATTGTGTTTCTGGTGTGTATCATTTTACTTCAAAAAGAGCAAAAACCCAAAAACCCACAAAAACTCAAAAACCCCAAAAACCCACGAAAAACCCATCGGTCGGGGTTAAAAACCCCGGGTTTTTCCTAACACTGCTGGAAATATTATTGGGAACGGCCCGTAAAATACCCTTCTCTGCACGGGTCTAGTTTATTAATCAAATTTTGATTGCTCATAAAATTATCTTTAAATTCTGAGACAGAGTGATGCATACATTGCACGCAAAATTATAAGATCATTTATTTTATTCTGTCAATCCTCTTAAATATCCGGCCTAGTTTTGCAATTAATAAATTTGGCACTGGTTAACATCCAAGATAATAATTTGTCTCTTACTCTAATCACATATTGCATCAGCAACTTGTACAACATGTCCCGAGCTTCTACAGAATGAGTCGTCCTTATTTTCCAGGGAGAAAATCATTTAAGAAATAGTGCTAGTGCTATCAAATCTAAAAAAAAATTTTTTTGGCTATTAACTTTTGAGACTTGCAAAAACTTAATTTAAAAATTTCAAACGATATAGTCCGAAAATGGTCGAGAAATTTACCCCGAAAGTGGAACATACAGTAAAACACGTTTCCAAACATGAATTGTCGTTTAACAACGTTTCTGATAAGCAAAAGTGCTCAGAATATAGTGTCACAGGTAGTACTGTTCATAGTATCTTAAATTCCGTTGAAAAAAGTAGAAAAAATAAACTTGCTCGACTGCCTTGCTCGACTGTTAAGAAGTAACAGCCCCCAAAATGCGTCAGCCGTACCGTATTTAGAGAAATCGACGCCCCGACGAATAAAGAAAATCTTCCGACTCCGCGTCGCATTAAAATAATTAAATATATCCTAAAGAAGTGTTGTGAGAAGAAATTGAGGAGAAATTTGGTGAAGCCCTCAAGAAAAAACACGTGTTCTCGTACTAAAAGAGAATCACGACAGAAGTCCAACAGTAGAAAGCTGTATAAGCATCATCTGGTAGGTGGAAATTTAGAATTTTCTGTCACAATAGACGAGGCTTACTTCTGTTTACAAGATGGTAAAGATTGGAGGAAATTACATTTTAAAAAACCTGGAAAATCGGACCATGAATTTGTTCATCAAAATCCCAAAGGTAGGGCCACTTATGATAGGGTAAAGAAGTAACACGTTCCTGCAGGTATCGAATATATAGCTCTGTAAACTGCAGAATTTATTGAACCAACTTTATCATTTCGTGGGTCAAAGGTGAAAATGACTTTTGAAGAGTTGAAGTGCAAGGCTTCGTATCTGTATAAAATATGTCTTCAATATGTATAAAAGAAAAACATTGTACAACTCAAATTTACATATATGTTCATAATTTTGTAAATAAATCACTCAAAATTCTCCAAGTGGGACGAGATCGTTCAAAGTAGTTAGGATAAAATGCTCCAGCTACCAACAACTACAAATATTTTGGTTAATTAATACATTACAAAATACTTTGATATTGTTAATAAGTTTTTGTGGTATTGGTGCCCTTACATTTAGGATAAATCCTCTGGAAAACTTTTTATGGATAAAAATACTACTTAGTGCAACAAGAGCATCTAGATTCTAGGATCAAAGTTTTCTTTGGTAAGGGAAACCACTACTTACTTTGGTAAGGGAACATCCATATATTACAGCATCAAATTTACATATGTGATGTTTACTCGTACCTGTTCACTTTCATTCATATAATGTGATACTGAATGAGTCCCAAATTCCCTCATTTCGGACGAATGAACCATGAACCTGAATGAAGGGATTTTTCACTATATGCTTAATGCACGGGGCGAAGTAAGAAATGAGGTGGAATGAACTTAAAAGCAAATTATTGAATGTGAATGAAAATATTTATTCAGAAATCGGGATGACTGACTTTTGAGTGAAAATAATTTTTGTAACGGATGGGTCTTACTCAAGGTTTCTGCACTTGGGAGGGCTGCTTGGGGATTAATTTGGATGCTTATACAGGTTGTGTCAGTTTATTCGAATTTTGGAAAACTGAAAAAAATCCGGGCTTGGAGAAATCGAAAAATTTACCCACTACTTTTAATTTGTAACTATTGACAACGTTTAAAAGTAGGGGGTAAATTTTTTGATTTCTCCAAGTCCGGATTTTTTTCAGTTTTCCAAAATTCGAATAAACTGACACAACCTGTATAAGCATCCAAATTAATTCCCAAGCAACCCTCCCAAGTACAGAAACCTTGGGTCTTACTCTTGTTTAGCTTAACATAAAGCTGATGGTGTAAGAATTGACGTGTTTTGATGACGTAATGTATGGACGGTACCTCAGAGTTTGAATACTATTTGTCAAATAGTATTTGAGCCAGGTTAAAGCTAAATTTGGGTATTTACATATTTAGTGGAGCAACTTTCTCCAGTTCGACTGGATTCGATCAGCACATGATGGTCCATCGTGGAGAAAAACGTTACCAATGTGATGTAAGTGGGGACAACTCGGTCCGTAAATAAGTACACTCTTAGAAATCTGGCGTAGTCAGGCAGGCATTGAATTTTCGGTAGTAAAAAAGTGATCTCGTTTTGTATTAGATGTAAAATTTACTACAGAAAAAACAGGCAAAACTTTAATACGAAACTATGTATTTATTACTAGACGGTAGGTAGTACATACATATCACTTTAATTGAGTTATTCATTTATGAATATTTACTGCTCGGTATTATTTTAATACTAGATTTCTAAGAGTGTACCCATGCATTATAGAATTTCTGTAATTTCTTCACCCTTAACAATAATGTTACCCTGTGGAAAAGTAACCTTCACTCGATAAAGAGTAAAGTTTTCTAGATGTTAGTGTACTGAATACATAATTCGGAGTGAATTTACTTTTCAAAAGGGTTACACTATTTTTAAGAGAGTGGCAAATTTTGGTTAACAAGTTTAAGAAAAGTGTAAACAGATACATATTTATTCATACTTTACAGATTTGCGAGGCTCGTTTCGTGATTAAAATATCTCTAGAAAATCACCGCAGGACGCACACGGGAGAGCGTCCCTTTTCCTGCCCGCATTGCGAGTACGCCTTCAAAACAAAGCGAAATTTGAGCAACCATATACAAAAAATTGACACTCCGGGCTACATCGCCCCAATCCGGCATCGGTGTTCCCACTGCGAAAAAGGGTTCGAAATTGGGGCCCAGCTGGAAGCCCACGTCCGCCAGGTGCACACGGGCGAGCGACCCTTCGCCTGTGACCAGACCGACTGTGGGAAAGCCTTCGCCCAGAAAAGGTCCCTCGTCCTGCATTTGAGAAATTCGCATAAAATCGGCGAGCAGAAAACCGGTTTCAAATTGCCTCGTCGGAAGGGATTCGGGGGACCATGCGAAGGCAAGAATACGGAATAAATCGGATACAATTTATTAATTAAAATATCTATTTTTCAAAATTTATATATGTATTGTTAAAAAAATCAGGGTTTTAAGAGTCTAAGAATTGTAATTAAATCGGTAATAAGACAAGTTGTCTTATTGATCAAAAATTAAAAAATAAAGTCATTTTTAAGGCCATATTTTGGGAATATTTACGGTAATATTTCATTCATATTTCGGGGTTTTATCGATCATTCATACCCGACGTCTGCGGATTACTTCTAAATGTAAATTTTTACTGGATTACGGATTACATTCAAAGTAATCTGATTACTTCATCTGATTAAAGTAATCCTGGGATTGCCCATCATTTTAAGTGGATTTACTTTTCAAAAGGGTAACATTATTGGAATAGTGGCGAAGGTAAAAGTTGGTTATTTAGATTAGGGATGCAACGAGTACTCGGTTGGATTCGGTACTCGGTGAACTCGGTGCATCTTCGGTGGACTCGAACTCGGCCGAGCTTTTTTTGGTACTCGGCCGAGTTTTACATTATAATTTTCTAGTAAAATATGAAAAATGACGCAGATGGAAATGTGGAACACTACTCCAAATATCGATCTCTTATAAAAACGAGGATGCAAAAATAATTATTTTGTTATTTTTAGTGTAACTTTTTATATTAACGGCGTTTTTCATTATGAAAGTTGTCAATGAGTAAAAATTAACCTCACGGTTGCCGTAGTTTCGGGTAACAATGAGAAATAACTCGGTTTTTCGAGCGCTCGATGACCGAGTTTCACCGAGTACTCGAACTAAAACCGACCGAGTTCGAGTTTCTAAAACTCGACCGAGTTCGAGTACTCGGTCCAAAATTTTGTCGAGTACTCGAACTCGACTCGGTTTCAAAATTTAGTACTCGTTGCATCCCTGATTTAGATTCATGCTGCGAGCAATTCATGCATTTTACTTTGTTCAGGAGGAGAAAATCCAGTCTCACTTTTTGGCACGAGTTTGATTCCACCTGCTCAAGTTGAGCAGCTCAACTTCTTTGTCAACATTTATTTTCTCCCAGTTTTTTATAAATTTAATCCATCAATCAATTATTGGTGGTAACATTAACTAACTAATTATGTAACTTTAACGTGAGTTGGGTGCACAAATTATTCATCGATAATTTATTTATATCGCAAAGTTTAAATTTGTTACGGTATTTCGCCTACCAAATTCAATTGTTAAAAATATTTGTTCCTTAATAAACGCGGAATATTTTTATAATTGAAAAAATAAACGTTTTGCTTTTTGTAATTTCTAGGGGACGAGGTTGAGGTGTTTTTGGTAGTGAGCATCAATTCGTTGAAAGATAACATGTGAGATTTTGTTAATTTATTGATGAATATACTTAATACTTATTAATTAATTATTAATAAGTATTATTAACTACAATTATTGGGACTCCCAATTTGGGAGTAGGAGAGAAGAGTAAAATACGGTAAATCAGGTGTATAATTGTTTATTTACTCTGCCCGTATTCAGTACGAGTTGGAATGGCGACATAATTTTGAAGAAGATAAATTGCATGTTCGCAAATTGAATGTTTAAGACAAGATTTTTTTGCGAACTCTTAACGTGTAATGAATGTCACATTAATGAAGATTATATTTTATTTTTACAGCTATTTAAGTTCAAACATCTGCAAATGGACCAAACGTCGGACCAGACCGGATGTGGTCAGATAAGCAGTGCTAATCCTCCTCCCCCAAAACCTATTATACTTCCCCGACGATGCCCAACCCCCGAGGAGAAAGCGGTCATGTTAGAAAAACGGAAAAAGGCCATCCCCGAAATCCTCGGCCCCCTCATCGACACGAGGGACGAGGGAAGAAAAATGTACGAAGGTTATGAAATCGCCGTGGAAAATGGGATTTACACCTGCGCCACGTGCGGTTTTATGACGGGGCCGACGCACCACGTGGAAAATTGGAGACGATTACAGGTCATTAAAATGCACGTCAAGGCGAAACATTTAAGTAAGTGGAGAAACACCAGTAGCGTGCCAACGGTGGTACAATGTGGCAGCAGATACCAGGCCCGGGGCCCGCAGGGGCCCGGGCCGGGTCCGTGGCTTTACACTAGATATAATGGACTTTTCTTGTGTATTGACGATTTTCCAAATAGATAAATTCTTGTAGGCTAAGAATAATTTACATATAATGTATAATATAATATTGCATTCCTCTTACAGATTTTGTACATGCCCATTCTAATTTCATTTCGAATAGTTTTGCATGCGTTTGAACTTTGACTTAATATTGTGAGACAGACCTTCATTTATATATATTTATCAATCTTCGTTTTATAGGATTACAAGTTTTTACGTTAAATATTACATTTAAAGCCGGTCTTGGCACCAATATTTTAAAATGTATCTGGCTCTCTAATTATGACCTGTTAAATTTCTGAAATTTAGTGCTTCGTATAAATATGACCGAAAAAATTTAAGGGTCCCAAGTTAGAGAAAGAAATTGTGTTTTAGGCAAGTCCAAAACAGGGGTGTACCGCTACCTGTAACCACCTACCTACCGTATGGTACCCTAAATCCCAAAATTTCAAATGCACGATCTAGCGTCGACCCATATTCCCAAATTGTAGGTATTAATGAGCACATCATTTCTACATAAAAAATTTCGAACTTTCACACTCAACATTTTTCAGGGGAGGTGAAAATATGCACAAAAACGTCGTTTTCTGATTTTTCTGATTTTTTGCGCATATTTTGGCTTCTCCTGAAAAATTTTGAGTGTGAAAGTTCGAAATTTTTTATGTAGAAATGATCTACTCAATAATTCCTACAATTTGGTATATGGGTAGGGATTCCATTCCCGGACGATTTTTTAAATCCCGGGAATCGGGATTCCCGGTTTAGGCCTAAAAAAATCCAGGGATTTTTCCCGAAATCAGAAATTTTAAATCTCATTGATTAAAATGAGTCAATTTGTTGTTTATTTACTAAAAATGTCAATCTCGTTAATATGCTTAGGTGTATTGGTAGAGTACAAATTGAATTTAGTACATAAATAATTTAGATATTTCGTATGTCCAACCGAACAAATATGTTAAGCAATGCTATTTTTTCTGATCTCATTAAAATACGACCTCAAGAAGCACAGACCACTAATGGTTTCATCATTAAGCCGCGATCGTATTTTGGTACAAAAATATCCTGCAGAGGAAAATGCCCGCTCCGACTCTACACTTGTTGGCTTAATAATTTGCAAATATTCATATGATTTTTGAAGATGATGACCTCTCGAACCACCAGCTTCGAATAATCCCATTTCCTTTTTGATTGTTGTCAGCATTGATGCCTTGCAATTAAGATTTCCGACGTGAGCACGAGATCCAATACCTTCCAAAACTTGTTCCAGTTCGTCTTTTAACGGCGTTTTTGTAATTGAGGGTACTACCATGGCTTCAGTCTCTGCAATATCTTCGTAGTTGTTGACCTCGTCACCTGAAGGACTTAACTTTGTTAATAAGTCCCGTAGAAATGACGCAATTCGGTTTTTGGAGGGGATGTCAAAAAGGTCGTCATAATTTGCATCCATGTTTAAGGCTCCAGTATGAAGATATTGAAGGATACCCGCGCATAAATTAGTGTAAATATTTGTGGACCGTTTTAAAATTATGCCGCATAAATATTTTTTGTGCACCTGAGCATTCAGTTCGTCTTTCATGAATTCGTCGCCGAAAGGCTTCTGCTAATTCATTCACTAGAGGGGTCGAATGTACGTCAAGTTTTGCCAGCGCGAAATTTAATGCTGCATCTGCGGTAAGTAAAGTGGCATCACGTCGACATATCGCTTCGACAGTAATTTTGAGTGGCTCCAAGGCTGAAATTAGTCACGTAGGACGTCAAATTCCCATTCCTCTAGCGTTATTTTCTCTTTCAAATCGATGAGTGCCTTCAATATGCAATTTCGCAGAAGGTAAAATCGTTGTATCATATCTAATAAGGAATTCCACCTTGTCTTCGTATCCAAAATTAATTTCAGTTCTATTCTGAAGTCGGCTTGCACATATTTCTGCAACGCTTCGTTTTTCAGGGGAGACCGCTTGAACATTTTGACGACTTTTCTGACTTTGTTAACTAGTGGCTTCATAGTCTCATGGCTAATTTCATTTTCAACTTCATCTTCAATTCGAAAACCCTCGTTTAGTTCACGCTCATCCTCGTCTGTATCAAGGTCTGAGCTTTCATCGTCGTCGGAATTAGGTGTAGGGGAATCTGTTTTCGCTGAGGGATAAAGAACGTCCGTGATTGCCAATTGAACCCCATGTGCGAAACAAAGTTGATGAAGGGTTGCGGATATCCTTCCAAACTTGACCATTACAGAGGCACCGTCAGTAATTGTACTCACCAGATCATCTTCCAGGGACAAATTGAACTCAGAGAGTGAATTTGATACGATTTCGACACATTTTTCAGCCGTCATTGATCCGCGTATCCGTGTTAGTCCTAAATTCCAGAATTTTGAATCGATTCCATGCACAATAATATTTAGGAATCTTCTATTCCCTCCTGAAGTCCACTCATCAAACGTAGCAGAAAACTTGTGGCTGGTTTCTTTCAGTTTTGTAATTTCAATTTTTTGTTCCTGACAAACATGGTTGGCAAAGTCGATGACTAATTTTCGGACTGTTGTTGAAGTTTTGGGCAACTCTTCTGGCAAATTCCTTGCCTTGATGGCTGCACGGAGGTCCAACGACGTACAAAATGTTAAGAATGGAATTCCATCCAGGGCCACCATCCTAGAAACTATTGTAGGAAGGGTTTCGGTTCTTTTTGTGAAGAAACTGTCTATTTGCTTCAATTTCTTCTTTGGCACGATCTCTAAAATATAACAAAATTAGAATATAGAATAATTAGGCAATTATAATATTGATAATAGTTATTTGAGTAATTAATTACTAAGTACTAATCACAACTACAGTTAATTGCTTAATTAGTAATTAATTATTCAATAAGAAATTGTTTACATTTCTTTATTCAAATATGAAGGAACTGCATTAAACAATTGCAGATAAAGCTATAAACTAATTTGTATTCCAACAGCTCAAATTAACAAAAACTGAATAATTGACACCCATTATCTAATTAGTAAAATTAATCTTCCAAATCCTCCAACCCACCATTGTATACAATAAGCATTCAAATTTTACGCTAAAAGAAAATTAGTTTACTTACTGAGTAATTAATTTCTTTGAGACTCAATTAAAGCAAAATAATTAATTGTTAACTACATTAACATTAACATTGCCACAACGTTATTTAAGTTAATTAACAAGTACCTATTCGAGCTTTCCTTGCAATTGAAAATACACTACAGAGCAATATTATTCGGGCAAGCGGAACCTCAAAATTCAAAGGACAATAAATAAATAACTGGTAAGCGTATCGGGTTCAATTTATTTGCAATTTGTGCATAATTTAGTTGTCTTTGAAAAACATTAAACCAATTTTGGACTAAAGTCCAAATTTCCAAATAGTTCAACTTATAGTGAAAAAAGTCAGAAAAAAAGCGAGCAAAATTATTCGGGCAAAATTGGCTTTTGTGTCAAAACTTTATATATAACCTTGACTGAACATAAAAAACAGTAGTCAATGACTTATTGGGCCTTAATTACTCGAAATAACTACGCTACAACAGAACAATGTAGATGTAACCAAATTTTAGGTGACGTTTTCGCCAGAATTTTAACATGCTTCGGAAATTTTGTGTTTCAGGTCGCCCTGGTTTGAAATTTTGAATTTTCAAATTTATTTTTCGATAAAGTCTTTGGGGTGTTCACTGGGATTAAAATCTGGCCTTCGTGGGGGCCTTTCTAACGTTTAAACGTAGTTTTTGTTAACTATTTCGAACCTCCAGAAATTTTGAGTTCCCTTGAACCACAACCCGGCTGCTTGCATTTGGCTGATTCTCCATTTACTTCTCTCAAAAAATAAAACCAAACGGATGTTTCGTCGTCTTTTCTTTTCAAAAATTCAACAAATGTTTTACTTTTGCTAATATTTTGCTGTTCTTCCATTACATCAAAACAATTAATTATTTGATTAGCAATGTACGGAAAATATGTGCAAAAAAATACTGTAAAGAAAATCCAAATGAAACTGCTGGCTAAACTTAAAGAAGTGCTCGTTGAAATTCCGCTCGTCAAATGGGGGCAACCCGAAATCCCGGGATTTCGATTTTTCAAATCCCGGGATTTCGGGATCCCGTTTCCCGGGAATTCCCGGGAAATAAATCCCAAAAAATCCCGGGACTGGAACCACTATATATGGGTCGACCCTAGGTCATTCACTGGTAAAAACGGGGATTTAGGGTACCATACGGTAGGTAGGTGGTTACAGGTAGCGGTACACGCCTGGTCCAAAAGACAAGTCTAGGAACTACGTTACGGGTACACTCTTAAAACTTAGGTAACCATGTGTTACCGACCGGAGTATCTATTTGACTCTACTGCCACCGCATGAAATTTGTTTTTGACTGATACAAAATTTACTACCACACTGATAATAAGTCCAACCGCGAGATTTGAAAATATTACCAGTTTGGCAAATTTTCCACCAGTCAGTAAATAATTTATTATCGTTGCGGTAGAGTCCTAGATAAGATAGTTTTAAGAGTGTATTAAAGTAAAGGCAATGAGGGAAATTAAATGATGCTGAAACGCATTCTCAACGTTGGAATAATTTTTGCAGTTTTCGAACTCAATTTTGACTTTTTTGCATTGCCATTTCAGCAATACAAGTCCTTCTGATGAAATGAAGCATTATGTTCCATCAAATATATAACAACACTCCACAAAGTCTTCCAGGCTGGTCAGCTAATATCGTAGATTAGATGTTTTTAGTCGTAATTTCTCAAAGCGGGAATACCTATGTTAAATTAAGGTTTTGGAGTAATAGTTCAATTGATATGATTGGAGCGAGAAATCTCCGTCCCACGGAAATATTTGCTTTACAATACTCAAAAATTGTACCAATAAAGTAAAACTGCTGTCCGCCATGACAAAATAACTATCCTTATGTAAATGGTGAAAGAATTTTTAAAAGCTCAACAATACTGGATCTTTGGCGAGTGCTTGAACATGTTGGGTTTCGTAATTTTTCCCCTTTCAGAACGTTTGGCTGGTACGAATGTGGCCATTAATCGAGCCGTGCCGCAAACTTCCAGTGCGGATTAAATAAATTGGTTGTCGAGTCGTCTTAATTTTTTCAATTGAGGGGACCTTTCCAGCTACTATGTGCTAGTATGATCAATCTCTATAGCTTGCCGTTTTTCCTGGTCAAAGTAATAAACAGTGAATATGTGTCGAGTCGAGCCATGTGACTAAGGCATGTGACTGCAGAACTACCACGTCCAGACTCGTCCAACTACCACCCTCGAAACATTCCAAAACCGACGTTTGTCACAAAAGTCAACCGTGACAATTGAAAAGAAAATACATCAACCCAGACCGATTCGCAAAGAAGCATCAACTCTCCCGACGAATAATAGGCCGAATTATTCACCAAAATCTGCGGAGTAAGACATTTAACCCTTTAAGGAATATTATTAATTACAAGAAAATGCGTTAACTCGGGAGCATTATACGTATGGTGCGGGAAAAGGAATTCGGTGATTTTATTAAAACTAAAACAAAATGAGAAATCCAAAATTTAACATCGCGTTATATTGGGAAATATCGCATTTTTCGGCAAGAAAATGTTCAATTTTAACATTTCGTTGGCATAGGAGAAATCCCCCAAAATGGCAGAAAATTTTACGCCGCAGGGAGAAATCGTGAAAATCAATGATCTCGCGGAAACGACAATTGTCTTCCTCCCGCAGCATAACCACAATTTTTCATGAGGACAATTGTCCTCCATCCGAATTAAAAGGTTAGAAAGACGGAAGTTCACCAACCACAAACGTTTTCTAAGACGCTGCTCGGATGACCACGAACAATTTTTTTAAATATCACAAATTTGATTTATTTTGAAAGAGAATAACCTAGTTACATCTGTTGTACGCCCTTAGTGTTTTATGTTTGATGAAATTTGAAAGACACTTTTAGAATTTCCATCAAATTTTTTTTGATGGGTTTGGCAAACTTTCAGACGAAAAGTGATTTAAATTAACTCTGCTGTCGGGCTTAAAATCTTCGCTTTTTTGGAAATGATACGTTCATTCCATACCAAAAAAGAGCGAGGAACACGATGAGGGCGCTTCATATATTCCGCGACACATATTTCGCCCACAAAATTAAGCTTAGAGACACGGAATATAGTCTCGCCTAACGCTCAGTATAAACTAATCCCAACATATTAAGGACATATTAAGACATGTTATGCATAGTCTTATTTATGTGACTTAAGCAAATATGCATAATTTATTTTTCGACTTCCCACCTGATTGTGTTAAAAATTTAAGTAATTGTTTGCTATTTTTTAACGAGTATATTGACGTTATGAAAAGGCCCGGCAACCAAACGCGTTCCAGGCCCGAGAATTTGACGGTACGGCTCTGAGAAACACGATAATAATTTTTTTACATGATCATGTCGACATGATCGAAAGTGTTAGCATATGTATTTTGGAGGGCAGGGGTGCAGTAGTTTTAAGTTTAAGCTCTCTAGCTCCATGTCGAAATTTCGACGCGTCGACATGGTTCCCTTACGACATGGGTCAATTTCACCTGCGACGCACTTTTTAGAGCATTGCCTGGCTGAAGCTAGATATCGATTTTTACTGCGATACGACATGTCAAATTTCACCCTTTTTGGACAATTTCGCCACGAATGTTCCCAATGTTCCCGGGCTTATAGCTTATAAAGGGGCAGAATCAAGATCTCCGTTTTTAAGCCGTTTTTACGGCCTGTTTAAGATCTCTGTCGGCCTCCAATTTTTTCCGTATGCAGGTCTAAGCTTGCCGTACGGGTGGGTGGTGGGAAAGTATGATTTTACACTTAAAAGTTTTAAGTGTAAAATTTTTACACTTAAAAGTTTTAATAAAAGTGATGCTACCCTTTTTAAAGTAAATTATGTCTGAATTCTAACTTACGTAAACTATACTAAGTCCGGAGTAATGCTGACTTTATAAAGTGTAAAGTTTGCCGGTTAGTACATATGGAAAGTTTTCTTACTTTCGATTTCAGAAGGTAACATTATAATATAATGATTATTTTTAAGTGTGTGCCTCCAATCAATACTTCTTTTATTTTGTACACTCTTAAAAATAATGTTGCCCTTTTGGAAAATAAATGCACTCTGAATTCTAAATTAAGTAGACTATACAAAATCCAGAGTAAAATTAACTTGATAATTTATCAATGATAAAGATTCACATTTACGATGGATTTAGTTTACTTAATTCATAATTTAGGCTCTAAATTTTAGAGTGCATATAGGGTACCAGTGGTACCGTACCACTGTTCTTAATAGTGCATTTACTTCTTTTCAGACACATCCGAGCCATCCACATGGGGGAGAAACCGGACAAATGCGACCACTGTGAGGAGTCCTTCATCAACAGGCACGCCCTTGCCAGGCACGTGGGCCTCGTCCACACCAAAACTAGCCACGTCTGTCACATTTGTGGGAAGAGTTTCCCCCTCATCGGAACCCTCAAGCGGCACCTCAAACTGCACGACGAATCAAGAATGGTCACGTGCGACGCGTGTGGAGAAAAGTTTAAAGGCCACGCGAGGCTAAGGTCGCACCGGATCCAGCAGCACGGCGCTGACCCATTGGTTTGCGACGAGTGGTAATATTTACATATTTTGCTCTGTTTAGTCTTTAACTTTAACTTTGTACAAATCGGTTCGTAACTTGCTTGTCATGCTTGCGAATAGTAAGGATCAGAATGATTATTTATTTACGAAATATTTTTGCGACACAAGAACCCACCTACTTATTTCGCAAGCACGTGTGTTTTTGAGTTCCGTGACTACCCACTCAATAAAGTTTTACTGCATATTTGCGAAAACTAAGCTGAATTTGGGCTATAAATTTGTTTAGTGGGGCAACTTTCTCAAGTCCGACTGGATTCGCGCAGCACATGATGGTCCACCGGGGGGAGAAACCTCATAAATGTGATGTAAGTGGTCAGAAATTAATACACTCTTAAAAATATTATTACCCTTTTGACAAGATAATGCAGTCTGAAGAATTCCTAATTAAATAAACTATACTACCTCCAGCGTAAACTTTACTCTTTATCAAGTCAACGTTACTCTTGATTTAGTATAATAGTTTATCGAATTTAGAATTCCGACTGCATCTACTTTTCAAAAGGGCGACATTATTTTTAAGAGCGCTACTTTATGCATTCTAAACTTTTCCGTACTTTGCAGTTGTGCAGCGAGGCTCATTTCGTGACGAAAAAATCGCTAGAAGATCACCGTAGGACGCACACTGGGGAGCGTCCCTTCTCATGCCCGCATTGCGAGTACGCCTTCAAAGCAAGAAAAGCGTTGGTCGGCCATATCAAAAAAATTCACACGCCGGGCTACGTCGCTCCGATTCGGCATCGTTGTCCCCACTGCGAAAAAGGGTTCGGAATCGGGTCCCTGCTGGAGGGCCACGTCCGCCAAGTGCACACGGGCGAGCGGCCCTTCGCCTGTGACCAGACTGGCTGTGGGAAAGCCTTCGCCCAGAAAAGGTCCCTTGTCCTGCATTTGAGAAAAACGCATAAAATCGGCGAGCAGAAAACCAGGTTCAAACAGCCGAGTCGGAAGCCAGGTGGGACAACGTGCTAGAAGGTGAACACAAGAATAATGAGTGAATAGGGTAGAAACGAGTTATTAATGAAGATGAAAATATTTGTTGTTTAAACTTATTCGAGATAAGCATGAAAGTCAGGTTTTTTATTTAAGGTGACGTTTAAAATTTGAGATACATCTGTTCTAGAAATTGTAATTTGTATATGTGCAATAAAAATGTAAAAATCTCAAAAAAATGATAAAAGTAAAAAATGAAAAAATATACATATTAAATCAATATTGCCAGACATGTATTTATGAAGGGCACAGAATGAACTTTTTACGTAATCGCTTACCTAGTTTCGAAAATATTTTGTATGCATTTTGCCCTGTAGAATTTCCGAAATGTATTTTATTTCACTTTCTTAATCACGGAATAAGTTTAATACTACATATTTACATACAACGAACACACATCATAAAGTACGAATGCTACCGGAACGGTTTACCAAGGCTTGAAAAGTTAGTAATTTTGAAAAATTAAGCATCCATCATACAATTTTCATCGAGCGGTTCCTCCGTTGTTGTATCCTTTCGTCCAGCAAGTTCTACCCTTATGTATGAGACCACAACGACCAAAAAGTAGAAAAATGTTGCAATCGCAAAAATGGACCGAATTGCTGTCTCGTTCCCAATTTCGGTTGCAAGATACGCTATTTTTAGGATGACCCGTGCCACAAGAAGAATCCCATGTGCGCCCAACCAAATTATGCATAATGTTCGGTTTCTTTGTGTAATAATTTTTTTTTAAATATTTACCAAAACTTTAAAAAAAGATTCGAGTTTTTTCATCTATAATTTTGAAAGTCTTAAAAATTTCAATTGTTTTGTTATGCTGAATAAAATTTGTTAAAAAGAGAAGATTCGATTCCCTTCTGTTCTAAGACTGGATGTTTTCGGATGTTAACTTCACCCAAAAATCTCCAAAGATTTGTGTACAGCTGCAAAATTCTGCTGGAACCTAGCCATTGCAAATTTCTGTAAAATGCTTCAGCCCCATGGTATTTAATCTCCCAGATGATGTTGCGCTTGTGAGATACTTCTTTAACAATGTTACAGGTCACGTTGGTGTATTGACTTTTCAGAAAATACAAAACATTTTCTATTTCGTCGGACGTTGGGTCGAAAACGACAGAATCAGCGAATACGGCCGCTCCAGAAAATTCCTTGTAGAAAGCGTGGTGTGGCAGAATTACTTAAAAAAATATCACTGTGCTCAGTATTAATTTAGACAAAATTTCAAATTAATCGGATATTTTAATGACCATATTTATCTATTAATAAGACAAGCTGGGGTCGAATCTAACAAAATATTTCATACCTTCTTTCCATACGAGAACATCCTGATCGGGTAATTTTCGTACGGCTAAATGCCACGCGGTTATATTTTTTCTGTTCGGCGGTGCGTAAATTTTGAACCCAAATCCTGTCAATAGTTCTCGAATATTTTTGACCACGTACTTTTCTAGTGGTGTCGTAATTATGGCGTCGTAAGATGAGCTGATCGCAATCATCACAACAATACATAGCAGCCCAAACCATGTAAGCCTCCTCCTAAAAAATTAAATAATCAATCGGTTTGTGTTTCTCAGAAAATACTTTCTTTTGATTGATTAATAAACATGATTTCTACCCGTCAAGAATTGAAACTCTCACAAATGCGGCGGCAATATCGGAATAACCTCCTAATTTGGTGACACCAAGAAATAGAGAGAGAAGAATTGACGCCGCCCAAATCCAGGTATCAATTACGATAAAAAACTGCGAAATCTTTAAAGACAAGAGGGGCGGATTTTTCTGACAGTAGAGCATATAGTAGTCCAACGTTTTTTCGATGTGGAATTTAACCCCGATGTCTAGCCTGGAATCATCGGTTCTAGGCCACCTCATACCCCACATGTCATTCCCCCACATCTCATCCCCCACATTGCATGCCCTCACAACTCATATCCTCACATCTCATGCCCACCACACGTCATTCCCTCACACTTCATTCCTTCACACGTCATCCCCCACACAGGTCATTCCCCACAGTTCATGCCCCCAATTCATCCTGACAAATGCGAAATGAGTTACATTACTACATACATATAATGTAACTATTAAATATGTAACATATTTAATAGTTAATTCCGGTCTATATCAGTTGTTATCGTAGCTAGTGTTGAAAATTGATTTAAACTTCGCTAAATGACCCACGTAGAAAAAAGAGGCCAACATATTATTGACGAAATTTATTCGCCAGAGGTATTTTCACTTTTGGTTAAGGTCAAAATTCATGGGGTCACTTGTGTTATTAAGTACGACTTAATGCTTCTGACATAGTTTTTACCATTTATTTTACTGAATTTTACAAAATCAGGCACCATATCTATCTAAGTAATCCATTTTACTTCATAATTTTGATTAGCGTCAACGAAATGCATATTTAGAATCTGCATTTTTCCCCAAAGTGGGGAAAGTGGGGAAAGCAATCCTACAAATCTCATTTACTCCATCTGGTTTGAGTTGCAGTATCGAATTAATTTTAAAATGCTTGAGTGCTACGAAGAATTATACGTGAAATTCGTCGTTATCGTAATTGCCGAATTGATACATCAATTTGTATTAATAAAATAATTTTATTAAAATTTTCCACGTGGCCTAAAGTTTTCCCCCTCCTAAATTTTTAATTTTTAGAGTGAAATTAGGGGGTAGCGAATTTCAGCTGTATGGCTTATGTCAGTTGCTTAGAATGTATTACACACGTTTTGGTCAAGAAATTTACAATCTTTTCGAAGCAGATTGATATTTCTTCTTGGATGGTTGTGTCACTCCAGCCAAGAATTGATTCATTTTCAGTCAGGTTTTTACCAATGTGTAATAATGTACTATCCTCGTACATTGGCGTGTCACCTCATTAGCATAAATCTCAATAGCACATTTTCGGCGACACGGGCTTTCCATGTTGAATAAACCCTGTCTCTCACGAATGCGTCAAAATATGCAAATGAGGTGACTACCCTAAGTAAGATTTTATATACAAGTAAATATATAGTTTGTAGTAATGTAACTCATTTCGCATTTATCAGGATGAGTTGGGGGCATGCACTGTGGGGAATGACCTGTGTGGGGGATGACGTGTGGTGGGCATGAGATGTGAGGATATGAGTTGTGAGGGCATGCAATGTGGGGGATGAGATGTGGGGGAATGACATGTGGGGTATGAGGTGCCCGGTTACCGGAATCATCAAAGGATTTTTAGAAGTATGTAGAATCTTTTGTGCAAATAATTTTGAGCAAAATATTCTTTACTCTACAAAGTTATACACTCCAAATACCGTAACCTGAAAATATGACAATATTTTCCACGAAATTCAAACTTGTCGCCCTAGGGTATTAAATTTGTCACGAGGAAGATAAAAATTTGAATTTATCCGAAATTATTGTTAGCACTTGACAATTCCGCGCTTGTATGTAAATTTATTCGATTACCTGAAATTTTTGTACTGATGCCCAACCCAGAATTGCAGAACCTTGCTGGTATACCAGTCGCTGGTACTGAGACCAAAATATTAATAGCACTTAATTAGGGGACGTCCTTAAATTACGTAACGCTAAAATACGATTTTTTGGACCCCCACCCCCCCTCTTGTAACGCTTGCGTAACGCTTGCCCAGACCCCCCCTCCCCCCCTTGTAACGTAACAAAAATTTCAGGTTTTTTGAAAGTCTCAAAATGTAAATAAATCAAATGAAGCAATATTATACTTTACGTAGGTGATGCATTCCACTGGATGTGTACAACTTTCCCTGATTCCATTTTTCAGAGAGAGACAGAGATTCAGGCTGATTCTCGCAGGTGTCACTACCCGCTCGCAGAAGGGGCGTATGAAACTCACCAGTCTTTGTCTCTCTCTGACAAACATTTTATGGTGAACATTTTCTTACCAACGAGCATCTCATTTAATGTAATATGTAATGCATTCATATGCAACATATATTAAATAAAGATGCTGGTGGCATCTTTTAATTTGTTACCCCGGGTTTTCAACCACCTCGTGTTCAGATGATTTTCATCTTCACACGAGTTGGTTTGTTTTCCAAATTCTCCAGTTTTTTTTAAAGCAATAAAAAAGTGTGAGTTTTTTATAAATTAATAAAAAAAACTGTGCATCATGGAGTCTTACTCCTCCCACACGGATCAGCCACCAGTACCACCACCCCCACTTTCGCCCCCGCCACCACCGCCACCCCTTCTTTCGACCATGTCGTCGTCATCATCATCATCATCATCATCACCACCACCACCGGATACTACCCCACCCGCCCAAGGAATTCATGGTATGTATCCTTTTTTGTTGTATTTGGGGAGGGTGGGGTTCCTGGTACCACTCCCCCTGCCCTGTTGGTTAGGGGGTCGTCTTCTCCGCCAGTATGTTCCTCTACATACGGTGGTACCAGAAGAGAGGAACATGCTGGCTAAATTTGGTTTTTTAAACCATATTTTAACCTTTTTGGTTGTTTTTGCAGAAGATGCAGAAACCAGACGGAACGTGGAAGGTAATTTTTTAAATTAGATTTGAAAAATTAAAAAATATAGTAACAATGGTTGAAAAAAATTAAAATTGGTAAAATCATATAAAATTTGGTAAAATATAAGTATTTATATTAATGAAAATTCTATTAAATTTGGTAAACAATATCAGAGCGTGGTTAATTATTAACATTAATGAAAATCTAATTAAATTTGGTACACAATATCAGAGCGTGTTTAATTATTAACATTAATGAAAAATTTATTAAATTTGGCAAAAAATATCAGAGCGTGGATAATTATTTATATCCACTAAAATTTTATTAAAATTGGCAAAAAAATATCAGAGCGTGGTTAATTATTTATATCCACTAAAATTTGATTAAAATTGGCAAAAAAAATTCAGAGCGTGGTTAATTATTTTTATTAATGAAAATTTTATTAAACTTGGTAAAAAATATCAGAGCGTGGTTAATTATTTTTATTAATGAAAATTTTATTAAAGTTGGTAAAAAATATCAGAGCGTGGTTAATTATTTTTATTAATGAAAATTTTATTGAACTTGGTAAAAAATATCAGAGCGTGGTTAATTATTTTTATTAATGAAAATTTTATTAAACTTGTTAAAACATATCAGAGCGTGGTTAATTATTTTTGTTAATGAAAATTTTATT